TGCCAGTGTCACATATTGTTAAATGGGTCTCGAAATTACAATTGCTTGTAGGTGCGGTGTTTGCTCAGCACACAGGAGTTGTCTTACGGCAACAACAAATCATCTATGCTGCGACACTTGCGTGCCAGGCATGATGACAATCATACCCAGCAAACCAGTGACCCTGTCAACACTGGATATCCTGACAGTAAGCTAAATATAAACGTGTATATATGTATGTGTGTGTGTCTATTTATTGTAGCTGTTGTGTACCATATTCATATAGCAACCTGTCTTCCACACAGTGTCCAAAAAACAGAAGCTGGATGAGGCCTTGGTGGACATGATGGTTAAAGATGGTCAGCCTTTTTCTATCGTTGAGGATGAAGGGTTCCAAAATTTCATCAAAATCCTGGACCCATCATACTCCATTCCAAGCCGCAAAACTGTAAAGGCAATGGTGGCAGCAAGGTACACTGTAACCAAAGAGAAGGCCTTGGCAGAAATTAAGCAGACTTCAGCTGTTAGTTTGACTGCTGACATGTGGGCATCAGTCAACATGGACGCGTACCTTGGTGTCACTTGCCATTATGTGTCAGACAGCCTACTGTAGATCTGGCTACTGTGCTTTTAGGTGTGCAGTATTTTCCTTTGACCCACACAGCAGCTAATATTTCAGATGCAATTGCAAATTTGATGACAGTGTGGGGAATCACTGAAAAGGTCTGTGGGATGGTTACTGATGGAGCTCACAATATTGTGGCAAGTGTTACTCAGTTAAATGTTAGACATATTTATTGCTTCGCCCACATGCTGAATCTCATTGTCAAAAAATCACTCTGTCAGACTTCTGAGCTGGAAAACATGCGCAGTAGGGCCCGCAAAATGGTGGCACTTCAAGTCCAGTTCAAAAGCAAAGGAAAAGTTGTGCTCTATTCAAGCTAATATGGGTATGCCCCCAAAAAAGCTTGTTCAAGAGGTCGAAACCAGATGGAACAGCACCTATGCCATGCTCCATAGGCTTTATGAGCAGAGAGAACCTTTAGGGGCAGCCCTGGCATCACTTAGTACTGACATTGTGCCTTTCATTGCTGATGACTATGCAGCAATCAACCAGTGCCTGACAGTTTTAAGGCCATTCTATCAGGCAACTCTTGAGCTTTCTCAGGAAAGGAAAGTGTCAGGGTCAAAGGCAATTCCTATAGCCAAAATGCTGAGACATGTAATTTCTGCCAAATGTGCCCAAATGGCTCCTTGTATTGGTGCCACGCTTGCCAACCATTTGAAAAATAATTTGAATAAAAAATGCAGTGACTTGGAAAAGGTAATCTCCCTGTCTGTGGCCCCCATCTTGGATCCACTATTTAAACAGG